GATTGTTGCCTTCAAGAACTTACAATCTACTGGTAAGGGCGCTAAAAATACAAGAAACAATCTCCAAGAAATGCAAGCATGTATACAATTAAGTGTCAGATCATGTGGCACAGACTATGAATGCTATAAAAGCTCAGATAAAGGAAATGTGTGTCAGAAAGCTTCCTAGGAGAAGTAGACCGGGAGCTATGTTGAACTGAGAGCCTGTCTTTGAACTCATCTGAGGTTGCCAAGCTGCAGAGACTAAGAAGCAAATATAGAACGTAGTACTCAAATTCTAGTCTGGCATTAGAGCCATGTGTTAAGGCCTTGGGCTTCTTGTCTGCATAATTCCTCAAGGGCAATCTCTCGGTCCCCTTTCAATCCTTTCTTAGCAAGTAGAGGCCCCTGATCCTACAGAACAGGGTTGCCACTTTCTTACTAGGACTCCTCAGCTCTAATCTCTGTCCTTCAAGCTTGCAAATTCTTGATGCTCAGGCTCTGTCCTCTGTCTCAGCACATTCCCATCAGTTGTAACCTGAACGCAAGCAGCATTGTAAGCATCAATGTTGAATTCAACCCATTAGGAATACAGATCAATTGCAAAGTGAAAATTCATTTTTAAAAAGAGAATGCTTCTACTAAAGTACTGTTATCAGCTGTTAAAAGTCACAGTTTCACTGACAGAATAATTCCATGAACCAGTTATTAATAATCCAGTGTGCTATCTTCAAAGATACTTAGAGTTATATCAAATAAAGATTTTTAAACAATTGGGAAAAAAAGGCTTTATTTTGAGAAGATTGCTCAGGGCAGACTTCTAGCAATTTCAATTATTCAGTATAACCAAGAACCCAGTGACTGACATACTCAAAAAATTTCCTGAATACATAAACTGAATGAGATAGAATTTTTTTTTTTTTTTAAATTCTTTAAATGTCTCCAGAGGACATAGCTATGATTGTATCTGGCCCCTGTAGTACCTGGCTGCTTATGAGGCCTTTACTAATAAACTGCCCCTGCTTATCTGCCACCTTTGAATCTCTTTCTACGGTTCTGCATTCAAGCCCCTTGGACTCCTTCAGTTCCAAAAGAAGACCCGACAAACAGCGCAATATAAGGGGCAGTTCTTGAGCTGTGGCTTCAGACAAATGTGGGTTTTTTTGTCTTGTCTTTATGACCTACTAGCTCTAAGATCCTGGGGAAATTATTTCACTTTCCCAAACCAATTTTCTCATCTGAAAGGGGAATAATGCTACCTGCTTTTTGGAGTCATCAAAATTAATAAGACAATGTTTATAATGGACCTGAAAAAATGCCTGCCCCCAAATCAACAAATCACTTCATGGTAGCTAGTTTTGTTTTTGTTTTTCTGTAGATCCGTACTCAGGCCCTCCCCACACCTCCACTCAGAGCCATCGACTTAAAATTATATGCAAACATTAAAGATACACTTATAGTAGTCCAGAGTAAGAGCAAATAACAGAAGGAGGGGAAGAATTATAGCAAATAAACAAAAATAATATAAAAATAGTATAAAAGTTTGGGGGTTTTTCAAAGCTGAGCAAACTGGCCCACATTCTCTAATGGTCTTCAGTAGCATTGACAAAATGCATGATATAATGATGAGGCCAAAAAAGACCCCGAGAGAAGCTGATGAAGACAGAAAAGTGCATATTAGGGGTGCCTGGGTGGCTCAGTTGGTTAAGCATCTGCCTTCAGCTCAGGTCATGGTCCCTGGGTCCTGGGATCAAGTCCTGCGTTGGGCTCCCCAGTCAGCAGGGAGTCTGCTTCTCCCTCTGCCCTGCCCCCGCCCCCACTCTTGTGAGCTCTCTCTCGCTCTCTCTCAAACGAATAAATAAATTCTTTAAAAAAAAAAAAAAGTATGAGTTATATGTTAGGAAAAGACCCATCAGTAAGAACTAAAATTGAAAAACCAGGGTCCCTAAGTCCCTTTTATAAACCACCCCTCAGAGATTATTCATAAAGTAGGGCCAGTTAAGTATATTGACTAAGAGCTTTGCCCTGTACTCAGTTTTTTATCCCAGCTCTCACTGCCTCTGAGGCTTTGGGCAAGTTATTCAAATCACAGGGCATTAATTTCCTCATCTGTAAAATGGGCATAATATTAGTGAGTACATACAGTTGTTATATATGTAGGCTTAAACATATGAAGTTCAAACAAAAATGTTTGTGAAGCTCTTAGTAGAATGCTTGACACACAGTAACCACCCAATAAACATTAGCATTATTCATTCCTTCATTCCTTTCTTCAATCTTTCAGCACATGTTTATTGAAAAATCCATCATTACTGCTAGGCATTGGATTAAATAGCATTGTATCAAATAACTCTGTCTTTGGTCAAGGTAGAAGTCTGTTACAAACAGAGCTACTCAATAAATAAAATTCAATTTTTAATATTGGACCATTAAAACAGATAAAAGTTCCTGAACATAGATTAAATTCAAAGGACTTAATAATAGCTAACACATACTAGATAGCAAGAACTATTTAAAGCCCCACATATATAGACTCATTTATTACTCCTAACAACCCTATGAAGTAGATACTGTAATTACTTCCATTTTATAGATTCTTTTAAAACCAACAACTGAGGCACAGAGAAGTTAAGTAACTTCCCCCAGGGTCACACAGCTATTAGGTGGCAGACAGAGATTTAAACCCTGGACAGTATGGCTTTGGGGTCTGTACTCTTAATTACTCTACTTTGCTACCAATTAGATCGATGTCTAGAAAACTTTTAAAAGTCAGCATAAAGTACTTGTAAGCCTAAAGCTCCTGTCTCCTTCCTTCTCCCTGCCCCCAAGTTGGCCCTCCTCCCCTTTCTCCCTCCCTCTAGATGTTCCCATATTGCCATCCTCTTTTCATGGACACCTATATAGAACACAGAATGTACATTGAATGTTCATATACATATTGTCTTTTCTATGGTCTTGTCTCATCTCCTTTTCTGAGAATAAAAAAATCCTTACTCTGATTTACTTCAGAACTGCAAAGAAAACAGTGGTTGAGGCCAAAAATTTCACTAGTGGTCAAGAACTTAAAATTCCTGTGTTATTCCCCTAATGCTGACAAGGGAACTTCCTTTTGTACGATCTGAAAATTCTATGAGCCCAGGTTCATCTAAATCTTAGCACATCCATCTTCAAAGAGCATTACTTTACTTATGAAAATAAGAAGCGTTATGTAACTTAATTAATATTTCTTAACTGCTTTGAAAATAGACAGCGTTAAGCATTATTCCCATGTACTTCAGAGTTAGGAGATTATCTTATAATGAAATGCAGAGATAACACAAGTTATCTAAGAAACTCTTAGAAACTCTTTTTAAAGTAATTAGTGGAAACTAATTTCTAATACTGAACTATTCTCTTTGTTATAAAATGAACATGTCTTATCAATGTATACCTATTACTAATCCATGTTAAATGAATTCAGGAAGCCAATACTTTTCAGTTAGTGCTTGCTATCATGTAGAAATAACTCATGTTCAAGTTGAGGATTATGAAGAACTGAAACACAGCCCTGGCTATGCGGATAAATAACCTAACATCCAAAGTTGGAGTTCTCATTCTGAGTCCGAAAAATTACTTATTTAGCAAGACAATTAAGGGCTAGCAAGTGAGAGAATAGCTAGATCTCCAGCACCTGTTGGAAAAACAATTACCAAGGGAAAAGATTCACTAAAAGTGTGACGATGGAAAAAAGGGGGGGCAGGGGCTGGAGTTTTGGGCAGTCAGGGAGGGTTGACAAAGCAGAAATGCTAATCTAATAAGGAAGTGGGAAGAAAATATTTTCTAAAAGGCCCAGAAAAGAGAATGAAAGCTAGGACTCGAGAACACAGGAAAGCCCCAGCACAGCCACTCTCTCCTCTCCCACTCTGCTATTTATAGCAAAAAGTGCCTCAACCCTAAAGAAGGTGGATTAAGCCGATGCTCCCAAGCCCTCAGCATTGGTCCCCCGTTGCTGCTATAACAAACTACCCCACACTTAGTGGCTTAAAACAACACAAATGTGTTATCTTATAGCTCTGGAGGTCAGAAGTCTCAAGTGGGTTGGCAAGGCTGCACTCCTCCTGGAGGCTCTCGAGAAGAACCTATTTTCTTGGGTTTCCTAGATTCTAGAGTCCCAAGTGTGTTCCTTGGTTCATGATACCTTCCTCCATCCCCAAAGTACGTCACTTCAACCTCTGCTTCAACCACCATATCTCTTTCTTACTCTAACCATCCAGTCTCCCTCTTTCCCTAATAGGGACCCTCGTGATTATACAGGGCCCATTCCTGTCCGACGTCAGGAAAACCTTCCTATCTCAAGATCCTTAACTTAATCACATCTGCAGTCCCCTTTGCCATGTAAGCCAACACATCCATAGGTTCTGGAGATTAGGACATGGATACCTCTGGGGGATTACTATTCTGCCTTCCACTCCCTTCTAGGCAACTTTTAGCTGTTTTTCATATTCCCATGGGGAAATTTTTATTTTAACTATACAGGGGTACTATGACTTGAACTATCATTAATAACAAATGAAATGAAAAATGGAGTAAACAATTCTTACCAGTTTCCAATGAAACGAGGGTCATTCTGGTCAAGGTTAACAGGATTTCTGGGATCGACATAAAAACCAATAAGAAGTCCACCTAATAAATATCCCACTGCAGGACCAAGTGCTCCCATGACATACATGATGGCTGAGAAGACACAAGGGGAAACGTGAAATACAGAAACATGGTCCTTAAGTTTCAAGTGTGGTCTAATTTCAGTCATACCATGTATATATGTCACAGTTAAACCCAGGGAACAGCATCCAAAACCAAAGAACTTTAGAGATGTGTCTATATTTATATTTGGGTTTCAAATCATGCCCTTTATTCAGCTGCTGCCTATTGTCCTTTTAGAACATTAGAATCATGTCTGGACAGCTTTTCAGTTGTTGTTGTTGTTGTTGTTGTTGTTTTTAAAGATTTTATTTACTTATTTGACAGAGAGAGACACAGCCAGAGAGGGAACACAAGCAGGGGGAGTGGGAGAGGGAGAAGCAGGCTTCCCGCGGAGCAGGGAGACTGATGCGGGGCTCAATCCCAGGACCCTGGGACCATGACCTGAGCCGAAGGCAGACGCTTAACGACTGAGCCACCCAGGCACCCCAACTTCTGTTTGTTTTTTAATAGAACTGCTCAGGCCCCACCCCAGACCCACTAATTTAAATTTCTGAAAGTGCTAGTTAATGAGCAGTCACTGGATAACCCAGAGAAGATAAAAGGGTGTTTCAAGATTAAAAAATAAATAAATAAAAGGTCATCTCAAGATAAGAAAAAGAAAAAAAAGTAGATGTCACTTGTCACAACTGGAAGATTCCAACAGAATGAGGAAACTAACTCAAGGCCAGATTCTACCATGAAGCTGGATTTAATTGAGTTGGCAAAGATGCTTAAGCACCTCAAATCATGAATATTTTTCAAATCACCACACTTTAGAGTCAAAGAAGAGCTCACAATGCATTTGGTTTATTGCTAATTGAGGAGTCTTACTTAAAGATTAATAAATCTCCTTAAATGGCATCAGTGAAAAGATCCAAACAGATAGCACCAACCCACAGCTCAATTAGAAAATAATTTTTTTAAGCACATGACCAAAGCAGGAGGGGAAGGGGTTGTATCAATAGATCAGAAAGTGTGTCATTCTATCAAAAAAAAAAAAAAAATTGTCCATCAAAATGGGCTTATAGCAAAAAATAACAATAAATTCATTGTCATTCCTTTATACTATTTTCACTGCTGTGATTTCAAATAAAAAAATAATTTGTCAAGTCTTAAATTTTGAGGTAGGATATGACATTCCTTGAAAGTCCTAGAAAAATCTGGAGTGGGGCTAACACTCCAAATCCACTTTTTTTTTTTTCCTGTTATTTGGAGAAAAATCTATAAACACTGTTAAGATGCTCCTGTGTTCAAGGCATGATAAACTCAGGTATAACAAATTTCTCATTTCTACTGCCATCATGCACTTAAACCACTGAATAAATTACTGGTTTGCCATACCCTTTAAATAGTACTATATTTACCAAAAAGCAAATTGAATAATCGGAATAACTTCACCTTACTTTATCTTCTGCACCTAAATAAACTTTGCATAAACTTGTACTTCCTGTTACTTATAACTACAGACAGTAATTTAACACTTGCTCTCACTTTTCACACTATTTCAAAAGAGAAAGCACACTATTTATTTTACAGAATCATCTGCTTGTAACAGTAAGACATTAGCTGCTTTGACTTCTCCATCTGTGTTTGGAAATGGAGAATGGGAGGAAGCATAGCCACAAGTAATTTTTCTTATTCTTTTGGAAGCACGCTTTCTGGCGTTCTTTTGGAAGCGTGCTCTTAATAAAATAAAATCAGAATTTTGATAAATATCTCGTTAACCTCTCTGTTTGTAGCCTGAAACAGAACTCAAGAAGAAAAAGTGCTTTTTCAGTTCCAGGTTTTCCCATATGCATATGGAGATAAAATTTATGTTTACACCTCCAGGCAAACCAGCACCATTTACAACTTAAAACTGTAATGAGGCCAAAATGTGACATGAATCATCTTCCCAAAATAGTTCTGGCATGAAAGAGACTGTCTTACAAACACAGACAGGGAAAAGGGTATTTCCGCCATACTGTTTATGCCTGGGGTACTTGAGGGCAGCGTCTCGGAAGGCCCAGCAGCACAGCGTGCATGCAGCATGGGTGCTGGCAAGACCTCGCAATTACACAGTGAATGGAAAACCAATTAAGTCACATTCACCCAAAAACCTTAACTACTTTATAAAATACAGAGAAAGCTTTTTAAAATGCAGCTATGCAATCAGAAGAAAAATATTTCTAATATATAGCAAACACTGAGGCCAACTGAATCATTCTCATAAATAGGTACGTACATACATTTATACAATTGTACTATATTTATACTATGTACCGTGTCATAACTATACTACACATTCTCTATCTACAAATCAGTAAGTATATAACACTAAAGATAGAGATAGAGAATAACTCGTTGACATGGTCCCATTTAGTAAATAAATCATTCTGGCCACTGAGCTAACATTTATTAATTGATTAACCAATGGCACTCATTCAGAGCTTAATAGAGGGGCAAACTATTGATGCAAATTCATATCACTCACTCTCCCAGTCCAAAACTCCCAGCCACACACACACACATACACACATACACACACACATACACACACACACACACACACACTGCCTAAACAAAGTCTAAACTACTCTATCTGGAGTTCAAGGCTGGGACAAGTTGGCCTCCTGCCACCATTTTTTTTTTTCCCATTTTAATCTTAAAACCTACCACCTGCACTCAGGGGTCCACACAGACTGACTCTCAAAACAGGCCTGGGCCGAGCCACCTCCCTTCCCTTGAAGACCCACAGTGCCCCCAGGCCTTCCTATCTGTGTGAATCCTGCCCCTTCTTCAAGGCCCAACAAAGTCCAGCACTGCCCGTCCTCCCCTGAGTGATCTCTGTCTCCTCAGAACCCCTGTAGATGACATATTATCTATTCCAGTGGCCTCCACACCTTTTCATCATGCATCCCTATCAGTAAAAGGATTTAAACATTTACCCACAGTGTCCTTTTCTGTATAAATAATGTGTATTTCCCACCAGTCTCATTCTCACAGCTCACACCTAATATGTCAGTAAACCCTGCTGGTTCTACCATCAGATCATAACCAATATGCCCCTCCTTCTCCATGCCTCTACCTTGGCCCAAGCCACCAAGGTCAATCAACTGGAAAATTCCTCCAGGCCTTCCAACCGATATCCCTGCTTCTGCCCTTCCTTCCCTACAATGCATTTTCAACACGGCATCCCTAACAATCTCTAGAAACATGAGCCACGTCATGTCACTTCTTGGCTCACACCTTCCAGTGGCTTCCCACCTCCCTCAGAATAAAAGCCCAAATCCTTTTATGTGGCTACAAGGACCTGCCCCCACACTGGCCCCACCCCCTAGGATCTCTCGGCTCTGTCTCCTAACCTTCTCCTTGTTCACCCAGCTCCAGTCAAACTGACCTTCTCCCTCTTCTTCACCCTGCCAGGCACATTCCCACCTGATGGTGTTAGCACTTGCTCTGTCTGGTTCTGGGTGTGGTTGTGTAATGCTTTTCCCCCGGGTTGCCTCATGGTGTACTCCCTTACTTCCTCCAGGTAGTTAATCAAACAGTCCCTTCTCACTGAGGCCTTACTTGGCCATCCTATCTAAAAATTTAAAACTTTTTCCCCAATTCTTCCCCCTCTTTCTCTGCTTTCTTTTTTTCTCCTCAGCATATGTTGGCACCCAACATACTCTATATTTCCTTTGTTCATCTTGTGTATCACCTGTCCTCCTCAACGAGAACCTGAGCTCCAGGAGGGCAGGGACCTTGCCAGTGGTGTTCACTGACGAAGTAGTGTAGAAGGCACTCGACCCACGTCGCTCCCATTATCCATTACCTTCAGCACTCCCAGTCAGTCCGTGAACGTGCTGCTGTTATTAACAACAGATATCAGTGATAAAAGTCGTCTTCAGTGTATATCAGCTCTTGAGATATGAGCTAATCACTATCGAGTGGACAGTTTCATGTTTTTTGTCCGTGTGCCATCAGAACGGAGTACACTGGCATTGGTTTTCTGTCATGACGAGGAGCTTATACTGGGAAGTCCAGACTATCCAATGAACTAGCAATAGAAATAGAACTAGAAGTTCCAAGTTTCAAGAGTGGTCTAATTCCAGTCATACCACATATATATGTCACAGTTAAACCCAGTTAACAGCATCCAAAAACAAAGACCTTTGGAGATTGTGTCTGTATTTATATTTGGGATTCGAATCATGCCCTTTATTTAGCCACTGCTGCTGTCTTTTAGAACATCAGACTCACCTGGAGAATTTTCCTCTTGCACCCCAAAGGACCGTCCTACATCTCCCCTGGATTGTACACAATTCAGCTTCATACCCCCCTTTCAGAGAACCCTAGACCATTCCATTCATTTGAAATTGAGTATGCCTTGCTCTTCACTTCTACTTCTTCTTCAAATGTTTATAGCTTATCTTTTGAAGTAGCTCTTTATCCTGGACAGCAGGAGCCATATCGTATACAGTACTATGCGGTGGTTAAATCCCAGACTACAAACTCCTGGGTTCGAATCCCTGCTTCCATTATGCGTATAAAGCGCTTAGCATATAACAAACATGAAGAAATATTAACTTGCATTTTTATATGTTGAATGATCACCTATTCATTCTCTAACAAGTATTATTAAATATTAATTTTGTATGGGCCAAATACACGCATTATTTAACAGAAGGCATACTTATCTTTATATTACCTTAATAAATTACCTTTTCTGGAGTCACTATTTTTGATCCAGGAGTTAGTTTTGATAATGGCCTGGGCAGATGGGAGTGGGAAAAGAGAATACCCAGGCCTTTCTTTCCTCACACCAAGGTCAGTAGGGACTATCTTCCTGAAGCTGAGAATGTGCCTGTGGCTATTATTCTTTTTTTTAACCTTTAGGTTTTTTCCTAATGATTACAAAATATAATATGAATTCCTTGTAGAGATAACTCTCAAGAGCACAAAAACTTAAAAAAAAAACATCACCAACAATCCCTACCATCCAGATAATGATGGTAACAATAGTA